AACTTGGGCGGGGGCATCCCTGTCATAAAGCACTTTGCTCTGGGCTGGGTGAAGTGGGCTCTTCCCCCAGCAACTTCCTGTTACTGCGGAGGGGGAGCAGCCGTTCCCCCTGCAGGCTGAGACTGCGGTGTGGGTCCTGGCTCTTCTGGGGATGTTCTTCCCCCTCCCCCCTTCTGAATCCCCCAGGGCAGCCTCTGGCCCCTGTGTCCCCTTCCCCAGGGCCCTCCACTCCTGACTGAGGCAAGCTGCCCTGCAGCCCCAGCTGGAGCAAGGGGTGTTGGTGGGTCCTGAAGAAACGCTCATTCCCGCCCCTCCAATGCTTTTCCTCCAGCCCATCCCTGCCTGTAACATCTGGCACATTCGTGGTGGCCCAAGCAGCTCTTGCTTCCAGCTGGTGCAGAGCCCAGCTCCTCGCCAACAGTTCCACCCCAGCGCTGCTGCGCTCTGATATCAAAGCCCTTGTCTGAGAGGAGGAGGAGGTTGGTGAAGGTCTCAGCTGTTGTAACAGACTTTGAGTTAGTCCCCCCTGGCATCCTGGTTCAAACATGAACGCTGCACGGTCACTGTAGCCAGGGGCTGGTCACTGAGATCTCACTTGCAGGTGAGGGTGCATCACGCCAGGGCTTGGATCTAGCAGGGTCCTGTAGGGCTCTGTTCTCAGCCTGACGCTATTCGGTATCTCGAGCAATGGGCAGTAGGAAAATAAAACAACGGGCACCTGCCCTGCAGTGGTGGAGCAGTAACCCGTGCCAGGTGCCGTACGTGGCACCGGCTGGATCCTTTGGTCAGGGGTTGGAGCGATACGTGTCCAAGGCCGTGCAGCTAGGAACACAGTGTGGGTCACACAGAGGCAAAGGGAAGCTGGGTTGGAATGGGGGACACTGGAAAGGATGTGGGGAACCAGCTGAAGTTGAGCTGCCAGGGTGCTGCTCTAGCTGCGAGAGCTGCTGCACTCCTCCTGGGTAGATCCGGGAGTAGGGAGGTGGTATCTCCTCTGGAGACGGCAGTTGTCGCTACTTGCTGCATCCTGTGTCCAGGGCCAAACCCCACCCTGCCAACAGGCCGGTGCCAGCTTAGAAGGGGGCTCAGAAAAGAGCTGCAGGAATGATTTAGGGGCTGGGAAACATGCTTGAGGGAGCGGGGAAGGACACTTGACTTTCCTGGGGTACGATCAGCACTTATGAGGTGACCTGATCAGTCTCTAAGGGCCTGACTGTCAGGTATTTCTTCTTGCCCAAGGACGGCAAATGCAGATTAGAAATAAGGTGCAGCTTTTCATCAGTGAAGGTAACTAACGAGTGGCCTCGGGAGACACGGCGCATCCTCCCTCGGCTGGAGTCTTTAAATCTAGGCTGGGGGTCTCTGCGAGATCTGCTCTAGGCCAAGCACCAATGGCTGGGGGCCGTTCTCAGGCCTGTGTTAACAGGAGTTCAGAGCAGAGGACCAGAATGGTCCCTGCTGGCTTTGAACTCTATGGAAACCCAACCCCGGCAGCTGCACCTGGGGGGCCAGCCAGTGGCACAGAGCGCCCAGGGCTGATGTGCTCCCACGGGAGGCTGGGGGTGCACTCGCTCATGTGCCAGCCTTTGCAGCGTCTGTTCCACGGATCTGCTCGGCAGGGGATGAAGACCTGGAACTGGGGCGCTGCTAGCTGCAGCATGGCCTGGGATCCGCGGTTTGTGGGGGCTCAGATGGGGCTCTCTGAAGCCCAGGTGGCCAGCTGTGTGTGGGCAGAGGGACGGGCCGTCTTGTGGCTCACTGCCAGCCGTCAGGTGCGGTCCCGGCTGGAGAGCTGGTGCCAGGCAGCTGGCGAGTGCAAGGGGCAGGATTGTAGTGGGACGATAATGAAGACACCTGCACTCGGTGCACTGCAGCAAGACATGGGTGAGAAAGATGAGCCCTTTGTTACAGGTTCAACACCTTAGCCCGGGCCTAGTGAGAGAGCCACCCACC